TGTCTCACAAACTGATGATCATAAAGCTTTATTATTCGCCATCTTACAAAAATACGCTTCCCGGGGCTACATTCTGGAATGGCGAAAATCTTCGGGCTCTTTTCCTTCTGCACCCTTTTTACATTATTGGTTCGAACGTCCTCATAAAATTTTATGTTTATCCCCCCTTCACTGAGAGAGGAGCTTTCGAAAACAATTTGTTCGAGAAAGTAAGCCATCACTCCCTCGGACGAAATACTTCAGACTCAGTAACGTTTATTCATTGTATTAATATCTGGTATATACTCTCAATTATCAGAGTGTGCTTCCTCGGGATTGCATGCCATCAACTATAATTTGTTAAAAAAATAAATACAGAAAAATTATTAACACTTTATTAGACATGAATTATTTACTTGTGTGTATCTGAAAAGCTTCCTTTGGTTGCTATGCTACAGCAATATGACAACAGCTTCTTGGAGACAACAGCAACATGATAATGACCGGCCCATTTAGAAAAATAACCCGGATCATAAATTATAATAAATCATGAGTTACAGTCCCTGTTCGATTCGGCGATTACTCAATATTATGTTTTACTGATACAAAATGAAATCATGGATTCTATTTAAACGACTAAAATTCTTTTATTTCCATTTCAATAATATTTAGTAAATTCCACAGTCGTGAAAAGTGAGCGACAATACGTTCATTTGATTCTACAAGAATAATAAGGATTTCACTAAATGAAATGTGCCCAATCCCTGTCGTCAACATTCAATCGACGCCGGACTCTCTAAATCTGATTATTATTTCCAAATCATTAACCAGAATCTTATTTCGATTTAGTACTTGCAGATCACAAAGTGTGTCAAAACCAATCGTTTCCCTTGGATCTCTTATTTTTAGTTACATAACCATTTCTTATCCCTGAATCGTGAATAATGCTTCCATTTCCGTTCGTTATCTCTGTATCAAGAATTACAGTTCTATTTCCTTTTGTTGTCTCTGAATCAAGAATTACATTTCCATTTCCGTTCGATATCTATGAATCAAGAATTACAGTTCCTTTTCCGTTCGTTATCTATGAATCAAGAATTGCATTTCCATTTCGATTCGTTATCTCTGAAACAAGAATTACAGTTCCATTCTAGTTTGTTATCCCTGAATCACAAATTGCATTTCCATTTTCCTTTTGTTTTCTCTGAATCAGGAATTACATTCCATTTCTGTATGCTATCACTGAATCCTAAATTATGAATCCATTTATGTTTGTTAGCCCCGACTCAGAATTACAGTTCTATTTCTATTTGCCGTACTCGAATTACCGTACCCATTTCCGCTTGTTATCTCCGATTCATAAATAAGTCTCTTATCCATTTGTTATCCTCGGATCATGAAATTTTCCATTTCCATTTGGCAAACTGCGGTTTGTTTTACTGCGCAAAAACTATAAGAATTAGAAGTTTGACATTACTAAAGTGTATTGAAAACTACACAGGAATGAAGATGAAATAAAAAAGAACATTTAATAAATAGTTCGAGAATTTTTAACTATTAAACATGCTGTAAGAAACCATGTTGGTCGATCTACTGTCCACTGAAATGCAACTACAGAGTTGACATTTGAAGGCTGATGTCCATTTTAAATAGTAATTTTAACGAGAAATTTTTTTTCAACATTCCGATTTCTTCGAAAGTTATTGCAATTTTATGTTTTATTTGCTGTTTTGTTTTTTCAAATAATAATTACTTATTAATTTGCGTAAATGCAATCTTCCTTTTATAAGCTCGAGGTTGACTTGATGTCAAAAATAGCAACAAAAAAAAAAAGAATGAATAAAAAATAAGGTATAAATTTTAACGTTTACTTGGCTATTTTTAAGGATATAAACACTGAAGAGAGAAAAAAACTGTTTCCAATTCGAACTGTTATTTGGCATAAGATTATCTTTATATGTTGTTAACAGGTAAAAGAACTTCGCACTTAATACTGCTTATTATGTCGCGTATTCTGTATTCCTAAAATCAATTTTTTTTTCAAAAGTGCATTTAATTGTTTTTCAAATCCTGTTATCCTCTCATTTCATTTATCACGTTTTAATTAATTGCATTAAATTATAATAATTATATATTTTTAAACAAAATTATCTTTTTTTATTGATTTTAAAGAAGAAAACCTATTAAGAAGATCAAAGAGGAAAAGCAATTTATGCCCATTAAAGCTAATTCTGAAGGGAAAAAAACTGCACGTTTTTCCTCAGCACTATCCTTTCTTCACTGAGTAATAACTCCCTGGGATACCGATTTTTCAAGTTATTGATTTTCTAAATTTCTTCAAAAGGTAATACATGACAATCCAATCATAATATCTTTAAAAATAAACATAAACTGTTCTTCCCCCTTAATCTACAATGATGTATGAGAAGCAACTACGGGGGTCGGTGGGGGAAGCTGACAAGGAGCTAAGCCTCCTACTCATTTAAAAAATTCACTTTCCTTGTGTTTAGATTTGCATCGTGAGTGTAGATTTTTTTTTTATATCTACTACTTCAGTAGGTTATACATTGAAAGTGATAAAAGACCCTGCGGTTATAAAATTCGCTGAAAATAATACTGTATTCAAGAAGCTACTTTTTAGAACAAATGTAAATAAGAGGTAACATATTTATTGTTCGCACAGAATAAAACTATCTGCAGTATCTATTACTCTTTTCTTTAAACAAACATTTCTTTTTACTTATTTTAAAATTAAAACTCTCATTTGATTCTTTAAGTAAACCCGTAAAAAACTGAAAGTTATTGAAGTTCTCAGACCTCTGTCATTAGTTGACATTTCATCTTGGACGATACGGACAAACGAACCCTTCTCGAAAACATTCTTCATTAGCGAACTTTTCATTTTGAAATTAAAAGTCATTAAATATTTTTTTCACCATGCCCCGGGCAAGTAAATAGCTGAATTCCTGACCGTCATTCAAAGCTGTTGTTTTAATGAATTAGCGCAACTTTTTTTTTTCCTTTCATCGCCAAGCTCTCTCTTTCTTGGCGAAGAAAGTAATGCCTCTAAGCTAATGACCGTACAGATTTCTAATTTCTTATTAAATTTAATGTGACTTTAACTATTCTTTTCAATCAAGTAACTCTTTTGGAAAGTGCCGCAATTAAAAGTATTAATGAGTCGCTTTCTGCATTTTTCATCCAGTTTATGTAATCGATTCAAGAAATAATTCAAATCGTCAGAAATATCAATTCGTTTCGAGAATCTGTTTTTATCAACTTCTGCTGATTTAATTCATTTCAGAGCAATTTTTTTTAATCTTCGTTATAAGTTGAGAATAATTTTTATGCAAATTAAATGGATTGAACTTCAACACGACCCTATTGAGACGAAATCAGAATTTGATCTAATGTAATCTTGTTCTGTGGTTATTCTGTTAGTTCGAATATAAATATTATTTTTAAAATTCAAATCGTATCTTAATAATAAAAAATATTTTTTTTAATTTTAGCTTTTAAATTTATTTGTAAAAAATTTTTCAAAAGTAAAATTTCATTTTGGTGAAAAGTTTAAATAAATTTTAAATTTTTTTTTACAAATTAGAAAAGAACATTTTTTATTGTTGGAATAATCTAATTAAAAGCCAGAACATGGAAGAATTTGCTTTCTATCTTAAATTTGTAGTTCTGAAAATGCACATTGCTTCAGAATTGATATTGAAATTTCCCTAGTAATTCGGGCAGCTTAAAAAGATTAAAGAAAACATTAGTGTAGAGAATACCAGTTAATGGCCTTTAATCTTCATCTTAAAAAAATTATCATAAAAATCAGTGTTGGGAATAGCTAGAAATTGCATACCGGGTAGCGGGACTTTACACTACACAAAGTCATGTAGAACATAAACAAGCTTATTATGCATCGAAGTTGCCAGGTACACAGAACAAAAAATATCACGGTTGCTATAAAATACATAAACAAATAGGAAAGAATTATATTTCAGCAAATTCGATGCGCAATACGATTCTGTATTTAATTAACTTATTGTTAATTTGCATTCGAAGTTATGTAGAGAAATTTAACTCAACTTTAATCCGCCATTTTGCTGATAAAGATAAGCTGGCGCTGACGTCATAGGTCACATGTGTGGGCATAGATATGTGGCGTAACTACCACTATAAATATTAAATACCGAATCACTAGTATATAAGAGATGTTAACTTGATTCTTTCACGAGGTACCTTTTGATAGATGAAGGTTGACTTAGTCGATAATTGAAATTCCCTCATTGGTGACCCGGACGTGATAAGAAATTGTCAATATTGATGGATGAATCCACATTAAACAGTTGATTTGCTTAAAAAAATATATATATACTGCTCAAAGAAAAAAAAAGAAAAAAATCCGGTGAAGTGTAAATAAAGTCTCCCGGTTAATAAATATTAATAAATAATAATGAGCGAAATGCTAGAAAAAAAAATAATAATAGCGAAAAGCTTTAAAAAAATGATGGGAAAAATAGCGAAAAAGCTATAAAAAAAAATAACGAGCGAAATGCTTGGAAGAAAAATAAAAATATAATGAGCAAAAAATTGAAGTTAACAAATAAAACAGCATTATTCAACTAGTGGTATCTGTTCGTCGAATTCTATCACAGATAAAATTCTGGAAGGGGAGTAACGTGGTGTAACTACCACTATAAATATTAAATACCGAATCACTAGTATATAAGAGATGTTAACTTGATTCTAGCATGGGGTACCTTTTGATAGATGAAGGTTGACTTAGTCGATAAATAAAATTCCCTCAGATACTTGGAGTGCAAGTGCCCACTTGCGTTTAAAACCAAATAGTTCACGTAAATTACAAAGTAATATTTTTTTACCCTATAATTGTTTTCTGGGAATTTAGAATTATTCATAATTGATATATTTTGTAAAAAAAATGAAATTGTGTTAGTTTTTAGTTTTATCAAGCAATGTTCTTTCTCTTTTGTAACTAAAATTTGTTTTCTTTGTTTTAGGGTTTGACATGCAGCCTGGTCTATGCCATATTTGCCGCCGTACTTGGAATGATCAATTTTGGATATAATACTGGTGTCATCAATGCTCCTCAGCTGGTAAGAATTTTTTTCATCCCCCCTCTACATCATGCTTAAAATTATTCGAAGCTATTTTGGTGATTAATCGGTATTTGTTTAAAATTCCGTCGATCAGGAAAGTTGGTACGAATTCCACCTAATTGGAACTAAATTGTTTCATTGTAATTATTGAATATTAAAAAAGATCTTTTTTAGAAAAAATAAGTATTTTAAATTTATTTACATATTATTCTTATCCTATATTATTCATATGTTTGTTCACACATTTTTTTTATTGTTCATAATAAAGTATTTCAAATGGTACTTTTAGATTAGGAAATTCTACTATTTTTTTTAAATTTAATTTAATTTTTGTGTGTTTAAAAAATAAATAAAATAAAATAATAAAGTTGGTGGAGGTCTAAATTTTTTAAATTTTTGATGAATAGAGCCATAAACCTGCAGTATTTCCAAAACTAAAAAAAAAAGTGGTAATGAATATAGTATGACGTGCTTAGACGCACTTCAAAGCTACAAGCATATATATTTAACAACAAAGTTGTTCAAAAAAGCATAAGTATTTTAAGAAGTATTTAATGAATAAATTTGCTGATAATTGGGTATAATATGAAAAAAGCACAACTACTTCCACTTACTGGGAATAACATTTACCTTTTAGTTTAATTTATAAATTGAGTTTTAAATATGCTTACTAAATTCATAAACTTCGGTAAAACAACAATATAAATTATTTCCAAAGGAACTAGACTAATACAATTCCAACCTGGCGAGTAGCGACTTATAACAAGACACTTCGTTTGATGCTTTTACTTGTTGCTAGAAATCAGGTTCGCAGAAAATGCTGTTTACTAGTTAAATTTAGTAGGAATAACACGATCTGTGACGTAGGCTATAGTATACCCAATTGGGTATACTATAGCCTACGTCACAGGTTGTGTTATTCCTACTAAATTTAACCCATGAACGGCATTTTCTGCGAGCCTAACTTCAAGCCACAAATAAACAAACGAAGTGTTTGATCGTTTAAATAGCTGCTCGCCAGATTTTATTGCATTATAAAGAAAAGTAATTGATATTCGATTTTTGATTAATAATTGATTTATGTGGATAGTGTGATTTATGTGGATAGTGGCATAGAATTTAGCATTGCGTCATGGTAAATGTTATTCCTACTAAGTGGAAGTAGTTGTGTTTTTTTATATTATACCCAATTATTGTCTGTTTAATCTTTAACTTCGATCTAGTTCGTTAAATTAAGTTGCTATGGTAATAGTTGGTTTTGTTTTTATCTTGATCTTGTTCCTTCTTTTTTGTGGCGAAGAAACAAAATGGCTTTGAGTTTATGTTTATTTTTTAGCATTAATATATTCATATTTACGCCATTTTATATCTTTGAGCGTTTCGAGTTTCATTAATGAAGTGAATATTTTTTTTATATATATTTTTCTAAATAGAACTGATTAGTAAACCATTTTGTGTGTCTTAAGTTGTTTCTGGAATAATTAAGAACACTGAAATATGATTAACTAATTCTGATTCGAAGTGCAGACAGAAATAAGTTGTTTAAAATATAATATTAGCGCAAAGCTACAAATTCAGCCTTGAGTTGCCTTAGAGCCTCAAATATATGAAGCGCTAAATATAGTATTGACTCTATTACCTACTATGTATCACACTCTCAAAGGTAAGAGACAGTATTTGCAGAGGTTGTTTTAACTTCCGGTAAGAGATTCGCATGTTTTGATTTTTTTATTATCATACGTTATCTTTCGACATATTTTTTTTATGTAATCATTTAATTTCGAAGGTGAAAAATTCATTTGAAAGTGGCGGCTGTGGTGGGTCTGCTTTAGGGTACACTATGCGTCGAAGCTCTAATTTATCTTCTAAAGTTAAGATGTTGTTTATACTCCCTCAAGACCATACCAAATTCAGCGAAATAATACATTAAAGAGGAAAGAGTGGAAGAAAGATATAGTCACGTTCTGCTATGACGTCCGAGGAGAACAAAATGACTTCCTGCAAAGTTTTTTTTTTTTCAAGGGATGGATGGTGAATAATTTGAATACAGATGTTTTAAATGTGGTATTTCGGTTGCACGTTGTAAAAATGTAAAGTTACGTCACTTAACAACAATATTTTTCAAAAAAGAGCGTAATATAGTGTGTGTTGTATGAAGTCAAAAGCATGCGATATTTAACGAGGAAATTGTGTTGAATATGGTGCTTGCTCATTGCAAAGCTACAAACTTAAGCCAGACAATAATACTGTTCCAAAATGTGAATAAAAACGTTAGCGTGGTATGAAGCCCCAAATATACGATATTAAACGATAATATGGTTTTGATTATGGTATAAAGATTCTATGATGAAAAAATGCAAACCTTAAACCATTTAACTGCAAAATTGTTTCAAACTGAGCTTAAAAGCACTTAGTGTTGTATGAAATCGCAAGTATAAACAAAACTATAACTAAATCTTGACACGAAACTATTATTTAGTGGGTACTTATATGCACTTATAGTAGATTTCAGCTATTAATTATCATAATATAAACATTATCTACAGGTTTGGTTTGCTGCAAGGTTAGTAGACGGTTATGTTACTCCCGAGTATGTTTCTCCCATTATTGACAAAATGGTTTTGATTATGGTATAAGGATTGTACATACTGTATAAATACGCAAACTTACATCATTTAACTACAGACTGTTCCATGATCTACGCGTTGTGTGAAGGCATAAATATACGATATTAAATACTATATATAAAATTGCTATGAATGTAGCATATCGGCTTCGCGGTGTAAAACTGCTAACTTTTAACTAAAAAGTTGTTGAAAACCTTTGCGTTATATAAAGCCGTAAACTAATAGTATTTAACGATAAAATTGTCCTGAGAATAGCATAACACCAGCACACTGTAAAGCTGCCAGCTGACGCAATTTAACAACTAAGTTGTACGAAAAATGAATATAAAAGCCTTGTAAAATAAATGGATATCAACCCGTTTCTATTCATTGCGTCAACAATGATTTTTATTTAATCCACGAAAATTGATTCGAACACTCCTCACCCCGAAGCTATGGCTTAGAATGTCTCCCTCTCCCTTCCTCCACCAGCCAGGTAGCGAAGAATGTTTCTTCGGCATCCTTCAATCATCCTAGACGTGCTCTCGCTCTTCCCTCATCCCATCTCAGGAGGTGCTGCATCTCATCCCTTCTCCCCAGCATCTTTTCACTCAGGTAAACCAGCCACTGTCCCGTAAGGGCATCCCCTTAAATCCAAGGTGAACTCTGACATTTGAGGCGGAAGAGCTCCTGCGCCTCCCGTTCCCCCTAGCAACGCGTCGTGACGTCAATAACTCCCCCCACCCACCTTTCATTCAACGCCCCCTCTCATCCTGTTTTATGGTAAAGATTTCGTTTCTGTAGTAGTAATCTTACTAAAAAGAAAATTCTTTTTCCTCTGTCCCGATGTGCAACTTATTTTTTCGATCCCCCCCCCTCTCCAATATCCTCCCGTGAGTCCCCGGGAATCGTGACTTAATATTTTTCTACCCCCCTCAGTTTTTTTTCCGGTTATTTCCAGTTGCATTTAGCGATGGGTGTTTGATCGAATTCTTTGTTTCCTCACGACGAATGTCTATTTATAGATACAGAGAAATCGTGAGAATTCGGGTCGTATTTTTGCATCGTGCGCTTTCACGATTGCAGAATTTCGTTAAGCAGTTTGAATATATATATATTTTTTTAATATACGAAAACTGTATAACCCATTGATGGCTTACAATTTTGTATGTAATTTTTGATATTCGTATGCTTATTTTTTTTTTTTTTACTTTCATTCTCTTATTTATTTTATTTATCAGTTGCAGTTATTTATTTCATCAATTATTTTTATTTATTTATTTTGCGTGAGCAGGGTTAAGGGTCAATTTCTCTTTTCTTGTAAACCAGCTTGCATAAAAATATAATTAAATAAAACCTTAAGTAAAAACTGCAATTATTATTAGATAGTCAAAGATGAAATTTACAAAAAAAAATTTAAGTTTACAAAAAAAAAGTCTAAAAGCAGACAAATGTGTAGTCTTCAATAATTTACGAAATTTTTTTCTTTATATTTTTGAAATAGAAATTTTATTTCTCCCAATCTAATAAAGCTATTCCTTAATTTTCAATCATTTCTGAAGGCTCAGTCCCGGTTGCAAAAACGCTCCAACGAGACAATCGACTCTGCAGAATATTACAGCATCTGCTGATACTTTTCTTCTACTAAGCTTTTTTATTTCTTTTTAAAAAGCAAGCAAAGAAATAAAAGAAAATTTCTGAGAAATTCCTTTTAATCTTTTCCACATCTAAACTTAAACTAAATTTAAAAGCTAAATTGAGAGAACACTGAAAAATGACAAAAGTAACGTTTATTACAGGCTTAACTGTATAGGGAGTTACTCCATTTTTTTAGTATCCCAGTGTAAGATTTAACTTAATTTTTTATGCATTAAAAACCTTATCTTTAAGAATTTTTCTAACTTATCTCTTAGAGTCGGGGAATCGAGCCCTTGCTCCCAATTAGGTGACCCAGGTTCGATCCCAGCGATAGCTGGCCCATTCAAGTTCCGCACCCGGCTCTCACCGACAACAGTGCTGACATAACATATCCTCAGTGGTATGTTAGATCATGGTTCCCCTTTTCGTCTAACTGCGGGAGGTTTTCGTAGTTTTCCTCTCCATGTAAAGCAAATGTGGGTTAGTTCCATCAAAAAATTCTCCACGATGGAAAATTTCTTTCAGTACTTAATCCAGGAGTTTCCTTGTCTTCTGGATTGGTTTCATAATTACAAGGCTATGGAGTTTAGTTTAGCATTAGTAGTCGTAAACCCCTCCCCCCCCCCCNACCCCCCCCCCCCAAAAAAAATTGGGTCAGCAGTTCAACGACAGCTATAAAACAAAATACATGATTTAAAATCTATCTGAACTTCTAGAACGCTAATCTCTACCGGACTACGTTGAGGTCGCAGGCGTATTTGGATTTATAAAGACAGTTCAGCAGATTTACTTCTAGGCTACCTGGGACATCTCTCTATCATGAAAAACTTATTTAGCATGAAAAAAAAAAGAAATCAAAAAATGCAATCCAAGATGGCGTGGGAAGAGGCCCCCTTAAGTGAGCAAACTCTTCTAAAGAATCTACTTCGTTCTGCCTATAAATGAGGCTTCTTTGATCTTTCCGAAATAAAATCAGTCTTATAAATAGAAACGAATGGTACACTGGTGGCGTGTAAGAAGTTTAGATGCAGCAGTTGAAGCAGAACGTGCTTTCACTAGATCTCAGCTTTACTTTCTCTCATTATGTTCTAATCAAACAAGGTTTCCAAAAACAAAATATTTTTAGACTTACGTTATCTGTGATAGCAACAAAAACTTTTGCGGACATGCAGCTTAACTAATAATGATCAAGAAAACAAGCTCTTCGTCCAACCCATAAATATTATGCACAGTCTTAAATGAGGAGCTTGAGGCAATGTATTGAATGATAAGTCAGATTTTTCAAATTGTTCAGTCGAGCGTCTGTGTCTAAAACATCATGATCAAGTAAGAAATTCGGAAAATTTGTAAAATACGTATTTAGAAACAATACATAAGAAGAATTTTAAATAAAAATGAATGAAAACCAGAGTGCAACTTCAAACAAAAGTGCAGGAGAAGGTCTTCATTTCACACATGTAATCTCAAATATACTTTCAAAAGATGTATTCATCGTTGAACCATAATATGGATACTTTGAACTATATTTTTATTACAAATTCATTGCACGTTTCCATTCGAATAAAATAATAGTATCGTGTAATCAAGTTACTGCTTAAGATATTGTGGTACAACTTAATACCATATTAAGGTTGCAGAAATCATGATTCAATACGCTCCAAATTTTCAACACATTCTCAATTTTCAACACGCTCCAAAATATGTTTCAACATGATCTAAATTTGCAAAACGATCCAAATTAACAACGAGCTCCAAAACGTGGTTTAAAACCATCCCAATTTTCAAGACGTTCCAAATTATGGTTCAACATACTCCAAAATATGGTTCTACACTATCCAAATTTTATAACAGTGTATAACTGAAGTTGAAGTAAAACTGAGTGTTTGTGTGACTGATTCGACTCTTCCATTAAATATTTTTGAGCTTATGTTAGATAATAAAAAAACTGCCCAACTAAATGAGGGTAACATTTGAAAAGAGAGACATACATGGATGTTTTTTATTTTTTAGGTCATCAAGCAATTCATAAGTAATGTGTATTACGATAGAACTGGTAATACAATCACTGAAGACAACAGAGATCTCATTTGGTCTGTGGCTGTCTCCATCTTTGCCATTGGAGGAATGGTTGGCGGTATAATGGGCGGAGGCATCGCCAACAAGTTTGGGCGGTAAGTCTACTCTACTCATCATTACATCTGCAGCATAAATATCTATAATTATTTGCATGTGAGTCGCGATGGCTCAGGGGATAGAGCGTTCACCTCCCAATGAGACGAATCCCAGTCGTTGCGAATACCGCATCCGGCTTGCACCGACCACAATGCTGACGTGACCACAATGAATATCCTCAGTGGTAGACGGATCATGGGTTAGTCTCCTTGTCGTCAGGCTAACTGTAGGAGGTTCTCGTGGTCTTCCTCTCCATGTAACGCAAATTCGGGTTAGCTCCATCAAAAAGTCCTCCACGAAGGCAAATTTCTCTCAATTCTCGATCCATGAGTTCCCTTGTCTTCTGGATTAGGTTCAAAATTTACAAGGCTACGGAGTTCAACATTAGTAGTCGTAAACCCATGTTCGTCGGCGGTTCAACGACGTTATAAAATAAAATAATTTGCATGCTGTAAACATTACAATTGCAGAGTAAAAATTCAATTTATTATTTTATCAATGTTTCAATGTTCAGAAATATCTCAAAAACGATCAATAGTTAGTTTTACGTTAGATATCTGGAGAAACTAATTTAAAAAATTTAACGCTTTTATGGGAGAGCAAGCTAAAATTGCCACTAAAATTCTCTAACCCAATTTCAGGATCCTTGGGAACAAAACGACTCTCGAGCTAAAAGAAAAATAAAGCTTTTTTAAGGAGGTAAGGAAGGAAGAAAAAGATATCTACTAACTCTTTTTTTTTCATTTCAGAATATAACCGTAGCTGAACAGCCGACCTAATTTGAGTTTGAGTTTATTACTAACAATGTTCAACTCCGTATTGTAATTTTGAACATAATCCATAAGACAAGGGAACTTCTGTATCACGTATTGGGGAAATTTGCATTCGTGGAGGACTTTTTGATGGAACGAATTCGCATTTGCGTTCCATGGAGAGGTAAACCACGAAAACTACCCACGGATAGTCTGACGGCAAGAGAACTCTAACCCATGATCCGTTTATCACTGAGGATATTTTACGTCATCACTGCGGTCGTTGTTAGTCGAGTGCGGATTTCATTTCGACCAGCCATCGCTGGGATTCAAACCCTGTTCACCTCATTGGAAGGAAAAGCGCTCTGTCCCCTGAGCCACCGCGTCTGTATTTCAGAATATAGGGCAAAATGAACTTTCACGACTGGTCACATTGTTATTCAATATAACGATTTCAGCTTTTAAAAAATTCTCTGCCTTTTTTATCGCCTAAATGCATTTTATTATTATTTTAGTAAATATAGAATAAAATAATTTAGAATATTCTGAAAATCATTTGATTTCACACATGCTTGTTAAAACTTTTCTTTTTTTTAGAAATAAATTTTGTAATGCTTACCACATTTTGAGAAATGTTTTAAAATAAATATGCCTACTTTATTGTTGACAATTTCTTAATCATTTAAAATTTCCAATTTTTGAAATAGTAACCTCTTCG